GTTCTTGCCAGAATTCGATAATTGGCCAACGCACGGGCTGCCCGTGCGAAGATGCGTTTTTTGCATAGCTGCCCGCAGTTTTTGTCGCTACCGGCATTGGTTCTTTGGCAAATCCTTCCAGCTAAACAAATTAAGACTGGCCTCCAAAAATGGCAGGAAACACTCCTTTAAAATTTCAGCTCCCTAGCTTTCTTGGCTCCTGAGTTAGCAATTTACTGGAAAAAATTTTTCACGAGCCCGCATTCGGGTGCCATGTATACCCGATGTCTGGGTCTGAGCTCGTTGAGACTTACTTGGACGGGGAACATCCTCCTAAAACTACAGTTTTTTAGCTTTACAGGTTCTCCAGTTATGAGCTTACCCGAGAAAAACTTTGGTGAACCCATGAGTGGGTACCACGAATAGCTGGGTTTCATCTCGTTGAGACTAATGTAGACGAGAAACGCCCTCTTAATGTTATAGTCTTCTAGCATCTCAAATCCCCGAGTTATGAATTTACGCGGGAAAATATTGGCGGGCCCATACGCGGGTACCACGCTTACCCGGGGGTTGGGTTTGAGCTCGTTAGTATATACTTGGACGGGGGACATTCCCTTAAAATTTAAACTTTCTAGCTTTCCTGGTTCGCGAGTTATGAATTTACGCGGGAGAAATTTTGGCGGACCCGTACGCGGGTACCACGTTTACCCGGGGTCTGAGTTTGAACTCATTAGTATATAATTGGACGGGGAACATTCCCTTAAAATTTCAACTTTCTAGCTTTCCTGGTTCGCGAGTTATCAACTTTCGGGCTCTTACGCGGGTAGGACTGCCCATTTTGGGGGTTGGGGCCCGTACGTGCACTAGATTATGCCCCCAAAGTTTCAGCCCCGTAGCTTTTGCCGGTTTCGAGATGAAAAATCGGTACAGCCCAGCGCACACACAGACACACACACACACACAACCTCTCGTCAATATGCGTTTTTCGCATTGCATAGCTGCAAAAAACGCATAAAAACACCGCAGTGCAAAATCGCATAAAAGACAAAACCTAGCAAAAAAGCAGCAAAAATGAAGCTGAAAAAACCGGTGGTGCGAGTTACGATATAAACAGCGGCACGCATTTTTTGCCTCACTTCTCCTTCCCATCCCCTCTCCCCCCCTTTTGATCCAATCCAAAATCCCTGTTCACCGGTGCAGCAGCTCTCTCCCCGTCCATATGTGCCCCGACTGTCACACATCAGCGTTCTCCCGATCAATGGCAGGGTCTCGAAACGAAGAATTTTTTGCTGCAATATTCACCATGAAGGCGGG